TTGATTACTTAATTATATATTACTATTATATATATATATCTATATCTATCTATATATATCTATATCTATATCTATATCTATATATATATATATATGTGTGTGTGTGTGTGTGTGTATGTATGTATGTATGTATGTATGTATTTACCAACCTTATTTATATATATATTTACCAACCTTAAATTCTATGAAAGGACGTCTCTAGTCGTGACTCAACTTTCACGCACTGCGATCTTCAGAGGACTTCAACGGGTAATCTAGGCTTCGAGTACTTTACTGAGTAGGTAAGTTTGCTTTGAAGCCATTTTTTCTTTTTTCAGTTTAGTCATCTTTAGTTGAAACTGTATCTGGATAACTTTTTAGGTTTTGGTAAGCTGTCCGTTGGTTCCCAGCACGGTTTTTGCTTTTCGTTTATATATATATATATATATATATATATATATATATATATATATATATATATATATATAAATTATATGTATTTACATTTACATTTTACATCGCAAATATGTATGCATAAATATATGAATTTTCTTCATATTTTTCAGGTCAATTTATTGCTTTTTCAACTTGTTAGTATTTTTGTATGCGTCAAACAATTCCTTTTTTGTTTAATCTTTTGCTAACACATTTAGTTCTTATCTCAGAAGCAGCTTAAAATGTTACCCTGCTTTTCAATATGTCCTCACAAACCGAGTGTTTATTATCATTATTTTTAATACCGTTTCTTTCTTTCTTTCCCTTGTCTACTTATCTGTATTTTCTTGATATTTTCATATTAGTATATAATAAGGTTATTTTTAGATAATCTCTTAAAACAGATCTCTGTCTGGTTTGTTGTGTTGTCACTATCGATCTGTCTTTACCAGAAAATCACACAAGATTTAGTAATCATTGGTGTTTTTCTTGTGCTGGTCACTAAAGATGATATCGAGACATTTCTTGCTGATGTTTTTGTCTTTTATAACCTTTCACGTGATAGATTTTTCTCACTTCATTATTATTATTATTATTATTGCCTTTGTTTAGTACGAGTTCAAAAGCCTTCAAGAGACAACAAGTTTTTTTCAACATAAGTTGTAAATAGATGAGGTGCGGTGCAACCAGAAAAACGTAACTGTGGTCATTGTACGAAGAGAAATCTACGCAAGATGTGAGAAGGCATTTGCAGGTAGAATTTTTTTGCAATTCACATATTTTAAGGTTGCTAGGAATTTCATCCACATATTTGTTTGCTGCTTCTGATATTATTACTAGAGCTTCCCAAAACATCAGCTAATGGTGTTGTCTTGAGTGGCCGCATTCCATCTCGAGGTCCTTCTATTGACTTAGTTCTCAAACGTTTTCAAACGTGTGCTTTTGTCAGCATGAACTGCAATACCTATTAGAAGATATGTTTTTTTGCAACATGATTTTCTTCAACTATGTTTGATCGATTTGCCTTTATTTCCCTGTCAGTCTGAACGCGAAAATTCCAGTCACAAAAAGCAGAAATCTTTTTTTTTTAATAATGTTACCGCAAAGCAAGGCAATATAGCCAATAAGACGCAAAGGTTACTGAGTGTTGGAGAATATGAAAAAAACAAACACTGTTAAGGAGAGAGAACATTAGTGTAAAACATATTATTATTATTTTTTATTATTATTATTATTTTATTTTATTTGATTTTTGGCGTTTACACATTTCTTTCCGGGTCACGCCCAAGAGACCTAAGGTTAGAAATGGTATCATGACAATTTCCACTGACAAAAAGAAAAAAAAATTACATAGATAAAGCCCTTCGTAAAGTGTGGGCTGTACTTGTGAGAACAATTTTTTGTATCTCTTTGAGGCATAGACTTCCAGGAATCCCTTCAATTAGTCTGCTGGGATCTTTTCCTAGGGCTTCAACTACAACAGGGATTGATGTTCCCATATGCCACATTTTTGAAATTTCTATTTCAAGGTCCTTGTATTTTGACAGCTTTTTGAATATCTTCAAAGATACATAAGCAGTCAGCCGGGACTGCCATAACAATAAGGAGACACTTTTTTTTGTTTGTGGTCTTTAATAACAATGTCTGGGCGGTTGGCTTTGATTGTTCTGTCAGTGTGTATTGCGTAGTCCCATAGAATTGTAACAGGTCCTATCTCTGTAACCGGGTCTGCGTGGTATTCATACCATTTTCTTTCGGTTTCCTTATTATTATTATTATTATTATTATTATTATTATTATTATTATTATTATTTCTGTTTAGTTTTTAAACCGTCAGTCTTTGGAGGCTGTCAATAATGTAAAGTGATAAATTTTTTCCCCTCTCCTCCAGTACCCTTCAAATTTTCTGCTCTTCTAGCTTTTCGCTCGGCTTTTCGAGAATGCTTCCAGTGCTACAACAACTACTGGCACAACTGTCAACTTCATCTTTCCTAATGTCTCTCGTTCTCGAGCAAATTCGTTGGCCAGTCTGTTGAAACACGGAAATCGGTAATCTGATGAATTTTCTTCTTGTCTGCCATAACTAGATATTTTTGTAACCATTTTGAATCTCAAAGTCCAAGAGAACTTAGTGCTTTTTATTTTCTACTAAAGATTCTAGTTTATGCATATATCATTGCTTTTATGGTCAAATACTCAGTATTTGCACAGTTCACAGTGGAACGCCCTTTCCATTCAGTCATGACTGGGTTTATGCACCGTTGCGTTCGCATATTATACAGCGTGTAGCAGAAATACCTTCCACATAATGGTAAAATAGAGGAAGACACTAATGTTTTGCCATTAAGACATTAGCTAGATAAAGACACCATTATGTGGGAGATATTTCTGCCGCAACCTGTATAATTAACAATCTCATCTACATTATAGCAGTTTTGTTTTCCTTGTCTGTCTTGGTTTTTATATTATTGATTCCAATGGCGTTGTTCACGGGTCCATTAATAAAGATCCAGTTTCCCTCTTCAGATGTTCTCTTCACAACTATAGCATTCATCTAGATTTACTAATTCTCTATTAGCCCCCCACCTCCTTTAGTACTACTTTTGTAAATAATTTTCTATCTCTCTGTAGATTCTTAATAGCAGATTCAACACAGTTTTCGATTTTGGCAAATGTTTTCCTCTATCTTTTTTTTTTAATATCCGTGTCACCACTCCATACTTCCTATCTTCTATTGTCCAGTTTAATAAGTGTCCAGAATAATAAATGTCCAGAATAATAAGTGTCCAGAACATCACACAGTCGTAATTGCGCAGGTATTTATTTATTTTATGTCATCGTTTATAACTTGTTGTATGGCGTATCAACTCTTGGCAACTACAAAACAAAATTGCCATTTTAACATTTTTTTAAACTCGCTTTTGCAAAGTTCATGTATTCTTCTTTTAAACGCAATGTTTAGGAATCTATTCTTTTTTTTTTTAAACCTGTATGAAAGTATTGTTTTATTTCGAATTTAAATTATTTTTTTTCGATTAACATCTTTGTTTCATTTGCTCTCTTCGGGTCTTTGTTGATTCTCAAATGATTTTCTGACATTTTGTTCAATTTTTCAAACTGATGCTGCAAGTTGATGGAAATATTTAAAAGTTCTGTTTATTAAAGGTCATTGATGGTAGATATACACGCCAAGTTTTATTTGTATGTACAGAGATATGACATAAATACATCACACTATTTTATTCAGACTTGGTTTTGAAGACAAATAGACAAATTACTATAAACACATGACGATCAACTTTATAATTTGCAGATTTCACCCTAAAATATGAAACTGATTGTAATACAAATCATTAATGAAAGAAAGAATAAATGTATCTTGTTCGGTGAGAGTTTGGTCATCCGCAATATGCCTTTGTGTGATGCGGAAGTGAACACATTCCAGTAATATATTAACTTCGTAGTACCAAAGCAGCATCCATATTGAGATGCGACATAATCTTGAATGAGACGAAATTCTGAAGGAAAAATATATGGAGAGAGTGAAAAGCAGATACAAAGGACAAAATGAAATTGGAAACTTGAATTGTAACACATAAAGAGAAGATTGAGCAATCGAGATCATTGACAAAGAATAAAAGAATTAGATGAGAGATAAAAGCAGATACGGAAAGGAAACTACAAGAGTTCCTACAGAAAGAAAGTGTGAAGAAAGTATTAAATATAAACTGCAAGAAGACGGAATGCAGGATTGTTAGCAAAAGGATGAACCCAAAGTGTGGATTGCAAATCGGGGATACTAAAATCAAACAAGTACAACAATTTAAATACCTGTGATGTATTTTAATAGAGGACGGAAAGTGTGACACCAAAACCGAAGGAACATTCGGTTAGTGAAAGATGCTTTCCAAAAGCTAAGCAAAGTATTACGAAACAGAAAACTTTTGTTAGAAATAAAGAAGAGTACTGATCTGTTACACGATATGAATCCTTGTCTATGGCAGTGAATACTGCCATAGACAAGGCAGGTGAATACAAAGACTTGAGGCAGCAGAAATATGGTTATACAGAAAGATACTGAGGATATTATGGATCGAACATATGAGCAACGAAGAAGTTTTAGAGAAAATGAAAGAAAAAGGACACTTATACTTAAATCCAGGAAAAGAGAGAGAGAGAGAGAGAGAGAGAGAGAGAGAGAGAGGGGGAATTTTACAGGGAACATAGAAAAAGGATTGAAAAATCTGACACTTACAGGACAGATTGAAGGCAAGAGAGAGGAAAACACGCATAACTTACTTAGTGAGCTTCAGTAAATGGATGGTTGAACAAAGTTTAGAAGAAATAACAAAAAGATAAAAGGAGATACAAAGGACAAAACCTGATCGCCAACGTCCTGAAGGGACACGGCACATAGAAGAAGAAGAAGAAGAGTGATAAGACATGTCAATGAAGAAGTCTGTAGTATGTTCAAATACGACCAAGAAGATAAATATTTAACGTCATCAGAGAATAGCTAGGGGAAAGACACATTCAATATTAAATGGTGAAATTCAGATGGTGACAAGTATATGTCAGGAGACTTCCTATTCAACCATTTTGCTTGTGTCACCAGTATTGTTGTGACGAATAGATAGGTCAGATAGCGGGTGATTAACTACAAGATATAGCAAATAAAGTAAGTCATAAAATACATTATCAATATTAATGAGATACCTTTTCCCAATATTTACTGTTGGTTATTTAGAAAACAAACAGTACGTCATTCATGAAGGTGAGAGCTTCATACTATACAGCCGAAAAGCGTGAGAATCAAATCTCTAAAAATAGATTAAGCGCTTTTCATGACGAAGTACATCTGATATGAAACCTATTGAAAATTATTGGTTATTTTGAACCGGGAAATAAAATGCCCAGTAAATATTTAAGATGACCTTAGAGGTTTCAAAGCAGCCTGGTTTAATATGCCACAAGAGGAAAATAGACGATCTACCGAATTCAATATTTGAGCGGGAGAAAACGTACTCTGTGCCTTGAGTGCTTATTGGGACTTAAACTAAATCCCTACCTCAACTGGAATTTGATCCATCACTAAAGATGGTAAGAAAATGATCGGTTCCCTGTACCGCTCCAGCAAGTACCTGACTCCTGTTATCCTCTACCTTCACAAGAGCCAGATCAGTCCGAAAATGGAGAACTGCTGCCACATATGTGCCGTAGCTTCCTAGTTATTACTTTCCACTCTCGATAGACTCCAAACGTGTCTCTGCGACCTTGCGGATGATGAATTATTTCCCACCCTACATCCCCTTTCCTCATAGACAAAACATAGTAATCCCCTCGCTGCTCTATTGTTATATTAACATGGAAAGTGTTCAAATTAACTACGTTCCTTATACACCAATTCTAACCTTCAAGGCTAAAACCCGCCATGCTCATTGCCTTCGTATTCCATTGGTGAGATCTATGTTCCACTCGAACAGCTTCTTCCCATGAACCGATGCTTTGTGGAACCGACTCCCAAGAGGATAGTTTCCCGATCACTACAATCAACCTACCTTTTCAAGTCTCGGTTCAACTGTTATCTTCTCCGCATATCTGCATGAACTGTTTCTCTTACTCCTTAACCCTCTACCTCGACTGGCTCTCGGGCCTTATACGCGGTGAATATCATTGTAAAAAGATGTAATTAACTACTATTCTAGAAGTAAATCACAGAGGAAAAGCTGACGGTAGAAAATATTTAACAGCGCCGTTTTTAAATAAATACTACAGCTACACTCCTTTTCTGCAAAACTACGAAAGGATGTCAGGTTCAAAATGGACGAAGCTGCGCTAGTTTCAAATTTATCTCCTGTTGGAAATTTTATTAAAATTGTCTGGGTTATTTGAATTTCTGTTTTCACTCTGTACAAGGCCTGGGGTTCACTCAAGGTAGAAGTAGATTACTGTATTAAGAAGTAGTTTATGCGGATAAGAGGGGAAGATAACGATTAACACCAGACTTGAACAGGTTAAGATTGTAGTGATCGGGGAAATATCCTTTTGGGAGTCGGTTCCACATAGCAATGGTTCGTGGGAAGAATCTGTTCTTGTGGAAATAAGATGAATGTCAAGAAGAACTTATATGAAAGAAGTTTTAAGTCTCGTATTTTGATGTTATATGGTTGGATATTCCGCGTGACAAGATCGAAAATTACATACATTTGATGATCAATAGAGTAAAAAAAAAAAAAATCAAATCTCTCAGATAAAGTAATAAAAATTATCATATTTTTAATTCTTCATCGCAGAGAATCTCTTGATTCTTTTCACGGCCTGCGTGGTATTAAAAAAAAGTGTTGCTTATAAGCATGATTCTCGCATTACGTAGTTTTTTCAAGATCTCTAATGCTTTTCAGTGGCCATTGTTCTTTTCAACTTGTGGGCCACTGAGGCAACTATATCCACTTAAAGGTCTTCCTTTTCCCCCAATGCAATCAAATTTTAACCATATTTTTTAAAATTATTATTAGTTTTGAAAAAACAAAAGAAAACAAAAGAAAAACAAAACGTGAACAAATCCTCGTAGTTTTGTACATTTTTGTAGTCATGTCCCTATTAATTTTACATTTTTACCAATGGCATATTGCTACTCTATATGGGCTGTAGCTGCCCAGTTATCTCTTTCCAGTGTTAACAGACTTCAAACACGACCTAAAGACGCAACGTCTCTCGTCTTTCACTTCTCTGTTGCGATTTCCATAGAAAATATTCTACTGAGCTACATTTCCTGGTTCCACTAGTTCAGACATTTACAGTTAAAATAACCAAGACAGAAAGTATCCCATTGATGAGAAGAAGGTTTAATTCAAGTAGTTATTTCCCAAGAGCCGCTACTTTATGAAATGGACTCCCGAGAGGATGCTTCCCTATTAACCTCTTCAAGTCTAGGGTCAACTGTTACCTATCCTACATATCCTCATAATCTGCACTTATTTTCAAAACTCCATACAACAACCTCTTTTAGAAAGCTTCAACCTTCAGTTGCTCTTGGGCCTAATACTGGTTGAAAATCCAGTAAAAAAACAAAACAACTATGCCCGTTAAATTATAATCATCGCAAATAAACACTAATTTTCTTTTGAACACTTACTGAACAGGCGTAAACGATTTCAGCGTTAAAATCTGTAACAACAAAAATATCAAAAAAGAAATACTAGTAAAATTTTATAATAATGCTTCATCTAAAAAAAATTCAGACTACATGGTACTTCTTTGGCTTATTATCTACAAGAAAATACAAATTTTATTTTCGAATAATACGCAGTAAAATATATTATAGCATATACATAAAATTAAGTCAACGGGGCATCCTAACGTGGTGTAATGGTTAGTCAGCTTGCCCCCTCCCCCCAAAAAAAGCATATTACGACTGTGTAGTGAGTTCAATCCTCACTAGGTGACCCCATGCTTTCGGTCTTGTGCCACATCTAAGCTATGCTTAGAAAATAGCCATAGAATAAAGAAAATGTCATTTGCATATTAAAAAAGATTTCTTTTATTCATATTCTAGCGATAAACAACATGTACATCGGCTAAAATGTCTGCACCGTACAAATTTTAATTTAGGAAGATATCTATATAGTAAAACTTGTTACTACTTTGGTCTGTTATCTACAAGAAAAAGATAAACCAAAATAGCACTATGTTTTATTATGTAGATTTTATTCCAAATTAAAATTTGTACGTATATATTTTTTATTGTAGATAACAAGCCAAAAGTAGCACCGACTACTTTGCATACTACTACTACTCCTACTACTATTACTACTAAAAGATGTAAACCAATAATAAAGCACGGAGGGGCATTTTAGAAAGAAGAATGTAGCCATAGAGCTAAATTCGAATGACTCCGGTTGGTTAGCTTTTCTAGTATCTTGCGGGAGGTGCTGTTCTGATCAGACAGGCTGAGAAAAAATAAAAGATGCAATTTCAAATCTCATCAGAAGGTTGTGCTTTATTTCAGATCTGTAAAGAATACTCTACGTAGAATGTATAATAAATAAAACGAAAACGGAAATAAGATGAAAGTAATACTAGTAAAGATGGATTATAAGGACAATTTCTTTGTTTATGAATTCTGGACTACTTAAGACGTCTTGGGTATGTAAATAAACTACATCTGGTAACAAGACCTTTTATCTGGAGGTTTTCAGAAGCATGGAACCACCACTTAATCACTGTTGGTCACAGGTCCACCCTGACCCGTGGTGGTAGCACCCGTTAGAGTCCCAGCTATGGGCAAATGGTTAACCCTCAAACTGCGGCCAAAACACTATGAAAGTATAAAGATACATTTTTGTAGTAAAAATAACAGCAAAAAAAAAAAAAAAAAAATACGAGCAATATATTTTTGGAATGCATTTTGTCTGTAAAAAAAATTACTAATCCTCCCAAGAAAATTAAATTTCGGCATTAACTGACCCATGAAGGAGTTGACATGCCGTTAAACAAACAAACGACTTAAAAATATATTTTAATTTATTTAGATTTTTGACTAAATCAAAGTATCTCCTGAATTTTTGTCGTTGCAATCTATCTGTGAATAGAAAGAAAATCTAATGGAAAATTAATTTGTTTTCTTTGAATATTTATTTTTAGTTTTACCTTCTCAGAATAATGATAATATTTCAATATGTTAAGAACGATAAAATATATTTGTAAGTCTTCCTATAATTTTCACCTTATTGCAGTTCTTTTCAGGTTTCTATTGACACTTTTATATTTTAATTTAAGATTTCTTTACAAATGGAAAATGTTCCATAACAAGGTAAACGAACAATAAAAGAAATTTTGAAAGGCAACAGTACTTTATTGACAAAGAAATCTCGGTGTCTATTCCCATCCCGATAATACCCTCAGGGTATTATCAGAATGTGTGGGTAGTGTAACGACGTAGGAAGAGAAATCGCCTAGCCCAGTTCGTATTATCCCTGGTACGGTGCATATTATAATAACATTGAAAAAAAGTATAGAGTTTTCAATTTACTGGTGCAGGGTATTGGACTCTTATCATCTTGATTGATGTCGAATAGAACAAAATTATGATCTTGTGAGGTGTTGATTGGATACTTTATAATTATAGAACTGTCTTAAACTTTGTAGCTTTTTATTGATTAATTAAGCTTTTATTACGTCTTATCAACCTCGTTGCTGGTTATTTAAAGCCAGAAAATATTTTCAGATTGTAAGAAGTTTTTGAAGATAATAAAGATTTACTGGTACAAGTCATACTAATTAACCCTTAACTGGGGGTAGAAGAGTATATATATATATATATATATATATATATATATATATATTTTCTATATATAAAATTTTACATGTTAATTTTCTACATTTTAATTTTATTTATTTTTTATATGTTTATTGGTCACTTTTTAATACTACCATTAACTGGTTTAATTCAACTATATATATATATATATATATATATATATATATATATATATATATATATATATATATACAGAGACAGACAGACAGAAGACAGAGGATAGAGAGAAAGATAAATAGAAAGAGAGAGAGAGAAGAGATAGATAGATAGATAGATAGATAGATAGATAGATAGATAGATAGATAGATAGATAGTAACAACGATAAATACTCGCTTTCAACACTCCTGAAGATAATCTACACGAACTTCCTAGATAGCAGTATGGACAGATAAGTGAAAATTTTACTTTTTTACACTTAATGCTTTATCTCATGATATATTTTATGACGACAGCTGCATTAAAAGCTTTATTATCCAGTTGAAGATTATACACTAGTGGGCCATTAATTTTTTTTCTTCTATTTTTTTTTGCAAAGCATAATCTCAGGTAAAAGCAAACTCAGATAGATAGATAGATAAATAGATAGATAGATAGATATGAACAGAGGCTGATATAGATAGCTAGCTAGATAGATATGAACAGACTGAGATAGATAGATAGATAGATAGATAGATAGATAGATAGATAGATAGATAGATAGATATGAACACACTGAGATAGAGCGATAGATTGATAGACAGATATGAACAGATTTAGATAGATAGATAGATAGATAGATAGATAGATAGATAGATAGATAGATAGATATGAACAGACCTAGACAGGTAAATAGATAGATTTGAATAGAACTAGATAGATAGATAGATAGATAGATAGATAGATAGATAGATAGATAGATAGATAGATAGATTTGAATAGACCTAGATAGATAGATAGATATGAACAGACTGAGATAGATAGATAGATAGATAGATAGATAGATAGATAGACAGACAGACAGACTGAGGACTGAGATAGATAGATAGATAGATAGATAGATAGATAGATAGATAGATAGATAGATAGATAGATTTGAATAGACCTAGATAGATAGATTTGAATAGACCTAGATAGATAGATATGAACAGACTGAGATAGATAGATAGATAGATAGATAGATAGATAGACAGACAGACAGACAGACTGAGTACTGAGATAGATAGATAGATAGATAGATAGATAGATAAGAACAGTGATTGAGATAGATAGATAGATAGATAGATATGAAGACTGAGATAGATAGATAGTTAGATAGATAGTTAGATAGATAGATATGAACAGTTATTGAGATAGATAGATAGATAGATAGATAGATAGATAGATAGATAGATAGATAGATAAGGCAGTATATAGCCAATACTCCTCAAAGACACGATACAAGTAAATGCGTACAATTCATTATTCCTGTCGAATTTAGATACCATTAGAAGAAAGACTAAAAATATACATACTTTTATTTCAGGTGAACATTGATAATTATTGCTGTTAAATAGAAGTCGTTAATAATTTTAGATAAAATCTGATTGTATCGTTTGGTGAAGGAAACAAAAAGAATTTATATGAAATCTAATATAATTGCTTGCGAATTTTGAAAGGTTTTTAAAGTACACACGCAAACAATGCCGACTGATTTAATCACTAAATAATATAAATTATATTCAAATAAAAGTCAACTTTTTCCTTTTCTCTTTTCACCTCAAAAGGCTAAATGCTTGCGTCTTCTCACAGAAACAAATATTAATGTCAGAATATGTATCTATGTTTTTTAATTGGTTATTTTGATGTTTTATTTTTATGTTGACTTTCTGTTTTACACAACATATTTCATTTTTCTCCTCTAAAACACAGAGAAAATGGATTCTCTGTGAGAGTTTGAAATATGTGAGTATTTATTTTATTAAAAAATAACGTAAAAAAAATATAAAAGGAAAAACAAAGAAAGGCAACAAAGAACTCGGAAAGTTTTAGTTAATTTATTATATTCCCACAATACACTGCTAATGGAAAAATCACAGTCTCAAACCGAAACCCCCCCCCCCCACCGGAAGAAGAACCGGAGAAAGACCTGTCTGAAACATTGTAAAAGAAACTGTTTTCTTCTATAACCAATGAATATTATTGATTGACACCTTCTTCAAAGCAGCTCACCTAAATAACCGTGTTTAAAAGATATCGGAAGATGCAGACAACCATTTTTAGTCATGTTTATTTATTTATTACTCTATTGTTAACACTAAATAGAAAAATGGAAAATAAAATGTTATAAAACCTATAGAAAATGCGGAGAATGCCTTTTTATAATGTTATTACATCCTGAATAAATATGAATTTTAAATTAGGATAATGAAGCGGATATCGCGGTGACAGGTCCTGCTTTAGGCACTTCCATGTGATCTATGGAAAGGATGTGAAAACGTATGTGCGTAAATAAGAAAAGAGTCGATAAATAGTGATATTAAAAATCTTATTGAATTCGCCATTAAAATAACAATAATAAATTATACGGTAATACTAATACTGAAAACTAAGTGAAAATATAAAAAAAATATTAAATATCTTCCATAAATATATATAAATAAAATGAGACAGATAAAGATAGGTTGTATGAATATAAATAACCAGATCTGTTTGTTAGGAAGGTAACTTGTTGATGTTATCGACCAAGGGAGGCAATCATAGTTCCCGGCACCTTTGGAGAAGTACTTGATAACCATACCACAGGATGATCCAAACTTTTTCAGTCATATTGGGTAGACGGAATAGTTCGTTAATGGTTGTGCTAACATGAAGACAAGTCATCGTGACCGATGGTTTGAGCCTACTAGCTTTGTTTAAACTGTTGATCACACCAGATTATGCCAGAAACTGCAACTAAGATCTGCTCGACATAGTTGCAATATTAAATATAGGAAGTCTCTGTGGTGTTGAATAAACACAAATGTGCCTGAGCAGATGTCTGAAACAGGTTGAACAATGTCCATGACGTATATAAGACTTTTTACTGTTCTCTCCACAACGGTAACCAAGGTTTGTATCATATAACCTTCCACACCACAGTGCCAGAGGTTGGGTCTGTGTATCGTGTGCTAATAGACTCTGAAATATGTCACTCACCAGGTCTCCATGAATCTTCAATCGTCATTAAACACAATAGAGCTCCATTCGATTTCATAGTTGACACTATCCTGACAAAACCAGCGCTGTAACGTATGTGTCAGTCTGGCTAGATACACGAATGTTCGTAGTCCTAATGCATGTAAACTATTCCCAGCATTAATTTAATTTTAATTCATGATCACATTTTATTTAATAGAAGTTTTCCTGTGTGGTAAACGGGTTCGTGAGTTTATCTCGACGCTTTCCGAAGAGATCTTGAGCATTTTACATGCAATTTCGTAAAAGAAAATGTAAAAAATGTTGGAAAATGTAGTTAGGAAAAGTCCTAAATGACAATCTTAACTCCCCCCCCACCAACAACGAAAAAACTAGTTGGGTAGATCCTGCCACGGCCAGAGAAACCAAATTTCACCTTCCTCCAATTTCCACAAGACAGCGCCATTCTCTCTATCTTGTACATTCGGCCAAGAATCCACTTCACTGGTCTTAATATATGTCTTCAATATTTTTTATTTGTTTTTAACTGTTTGCTCCTTTTTCTTTTGTATTACCATGACTTATAAATTAATTCTCATATTTTTACTTTATTTATCTTTAAATGTCTTCGACGTAGTATATATATATATATATATATATATATATATATATATATGTGTGTGTGTGTGTGTGTGTGTGTGTGTGCATATGTGCACACACCCGGGCACATACAGACACGTATATGCATCTGTACCTGCACATTAATTTAATGTTAAAACCCGAGAAGGAGTTCTGTTGCCTTAACCGCTAGGCAAATAAGGTACGTCTCCACGGAGTATCACACCGAAATCATTTCTGGGTTATTTGTCCCCACATTAAGGGTGCTAGAGGTAAACCTTTTTTTGCCGTGGGGCGTTATCAGCTTGATAGTCAGGGATATGAACCTTCGAGTAACTTCGAAAGAGGCCATCCTATCAGCAGGTGTATAATATAGTGAGTATTGTACTACTGTTTTGTGAGTGGTTTCTAGATCGTGCACCAGTCATCGGTGGGGCTTCTCGGTGTCATGATGATGGGTAATCTTATGGAAGTATCTCCGGACGAGTCAACCCAGGTTATCTATGCATGCATCTTCAATGTGTGTCTGTTTCACTGCCTATATCCTCCCCTCCTAGCCATATAATCTACCCCTAAACGTAACCCTCTACTGTGAGTGGCCCAGAGCCTTGTGCATGATGAACCTTACTTAAATAAAAATCTCTGTTAGCACCCCTGATGTCACATTTGCCCTTATCTGTTCTGTGGATGCCATGCTGTTTGCTTTAGTCTTGGCGAGACTATGAAATGAGTAGCCATTTAGTATATGATCTATCGCTGTAGGAATGTTCACCCATGTTGTTAGCATCGATGCACCACTGACGCATTACATTCAATATGAACCGTTATTTGAAATAAGCAACAATCTTCTTGAATGAATCCAAACGCTCTCAAGCGACTCTAACTGTACAAAATGTCCACGTACGTATCGCCGTGACACGACACCAGTTTGCATTGGATTCTTACACCTCGTCGAACTAAGTCATTGGGAGTTTTATCAGAATAGTTAACATAATTTAATTCTTTGTCACTGCGCTTAATTCAGTGGTAAATAATTTATGACATTAAATCCAACATATAGAATGAAAATTCAGGAAATCGTTTTGTGACCGAATTATTGATACCGCATTTATTTCGAGGGCGGATTAGAGTTTGTTTTTTTTTTAAAATTACTGACATGATATTTACCGGAGTCGCTTATTAACGAGGGTTACAATGAATTAAAAAAAAAAGCAGGGGTAATATCCTATTCGACTTTGGAAAATTGCATTGTTTTAAATCTGTACGTAAATATGGAGTTTGAAATAAAATTAAAATCATTTAATGAAAGAAATATCAAAAAGATTTTGCTAATTAAACATACACGAACACACAACACATTTATATATATATATATATATATATAATTATTATTTATAAAAAAATTATAACATAACTACAAAAATAGCCATTTTGTTTCAACACCCTCGGTGTCATATCAAGTGATCTTGATCAAGAACACCTGATCAAGATCACTTGATCAAGATCACTTGATAAAACACCGAGGGTGTTGAAACAAAATGGCTATTTTTGTAGTGATTTTATAACATACTTATGTTATAATTTTTTTATAAATAATAATTATATCTGCTCTAATTTGTATTGAGCACTCTTTTTAAGAATAGTAATTGTTGGTTATTGGAAATCATTCCATATATACCAATTATATATATATATATATATATATATATATATATATATATATATATATATATATATATATATAAAAGTGAATATAGAAGTCAACACTTAGAGGCGACAGTCTGTTTCATGCTATATGCAATCGTCAGGCCACGTGTGCTGTTATTTTTCTCGGCTATTTATATATATTTCTTCCTTTAGCAACATAGTATTTATTTATTTATTTTAAATAGTAATTAGTAAAACAATACTAGAAAGAATTAATTCTGAACTTAGGAAGAAATTAGGAGTAAACCAGTGGAAAAATACGAAAACAACTATTGACTGGTTCCACAACATAAATAACAAACAAAATTGCCAATTCCTACAATTAGACATAAAAGAATTTTACCCATCCATAACAGAACGCATGCTAGATAAGGCCATCGACTTAGCTCAGGAACAAATAATAATAAAACCAAGCGAAATCAACATCATTAAGCACTCCCGTAAATCATTATTATTCCACAATGAAGAAGCATGGATAAAGAAAGATGGGATATTTGACACTACAAAGGGAAGCTTTGACGGTGCGGGGTCAGGCGAAATCATAGGCATTTACTTACTACACGAACTGAGCAAAATAATAGATAAAAATGACACAGGACTCTACAGGGACGACGGTCTCATAATCTTAAGAAACTGTAACAAACAAAACACAGACAAAACTAGAAAAGCAATAATAAAGATTTTTAAAAATAACGATTCGACATAGATATAAAAAACTAACCTAAACGAAGTAGATTTCCTAGATGTCACCTTCAACCTAAGAGAAGGCACATATAAACCATACAGAAAACCTAACGATAAACCACTCTACATACACACATCTTCCAACCATCCGCCTTCTATAATCAAACAGATACCAAAATCGATTAACCGCAGGCTCTCCGACAATTCCTCCAATGAATCCCTATTTAACAAAGCTAAAAAGACTATGAAACGGCCCTAAA